AAAATTTTCTGTCACGATATCGAGTTCTTCAAAAAAATCTGGGATGCTTAGATGATGAAACTAATTGAGCATCCCCGGATTACTAATCACCATCACCTGTCACCGCCACCTGCATCCAATCCGTGTCTCATTCACCAAAGGTGGGTACCGTTCGACCGTAAGTGGACTGCGAAGTGGACTTCACAGGGTATTTCGCCATCTTAAGTGAGATTTCAATTCGAAGGGAACGAACATGTTCAGTTCGAAGGGCACTGCAAACAGCATAGGGAATAAGGGAACATCGATACATCACTTCACAGGAAGTCAGTGAAGTCCACTTCAACTGATATACCGAGTTCAGGGAGTAGGGAGCAGTGAACACTGCGTAGGGACCCTGTCGAATGTAACGCACCTCAAGACTATCCACAAGTTTCCTAGTACGCCCCATGAGGGCTTGCGTCAAAAGTGGGCGCGACTTCCGGTTTGAAGTAAACATAGCGCGACTTGACATACTTCACACTCGTTCATTCAACAGTTGACAGTCATTCAAGTTCCGTGAATCAATGTATTAAGGCCACTGAAACTGAAACTGACATCTCTCAATACAGGAGCAGAAGCGCTGGTTCAGATTTTATTATTTGTTGTTTAAACATGCGTGTTGCATATTTAAAAATAAATAGCCTAAATATAGGCTACTGATTACTGTGGAGGGGGAATGTTTTTTTTAATTCTACATAGAACCCCAGTTTTATTTTCTATATTTTTTGCATAACTGCTTTTTAAGATGTAAATGCAGTCAATCTGTTGGAAGAGATTTGTTCCTTACTGTAAAATAGAAATGCATGCCCAGATAGCAAACTGACATTGAATCAACGTGGAAATATGACATCGAAACAACGTTGATCTGACATTGTTTTGCTCATCGAATTAACGTTGAACCAACGTCAGACGCGTCATTCTTTCAAAACTAACGGAAAATCAACTTGAAATCAACGCGTTGTTTCAACGTTATGAAAGCAAACCAATTTTCGATTTCATTTAGCTTTGAAGAATGCCGCGTCTGACGTTGGTTCAACGTTAATTCGATGAGCAAATCAACGTTGTTTCAATGTCATGAGAGACGTCGTTTCCACGTTGATTCAATGTCAGTTTGCTATCTGGGTGGTCATTTTATTTTATAAATATAAGCAAAAAAAACTAAATGGAGTTTTAGAACAAATCTTTCTGCATTTATAGCTTATATAGAAAAATACAACTACAGTAATCCATGTTTGATCAAGCTTCGAACCCATGTCTTTGTGATGGTAGAACAGTAGGCCTATGTTCTACCATTCAGCCATATGTTCGTTCTTATGTCTAAGGTATGTTGTTATGCCTATTGTGAATGTAGGCCTGGGCTACTTTAGGCTACATGAAAAAGGAGACCTCTTACAGTTTTAAAATATGATTTTATTATAGCTGTTATGAGAAAAATAAATTCAAGTGAGCACCGCCGCTTTTGTCAAACAATATTAAGGTCACTGAAACTGAAACGCGCGCTGCATGTTATGTCTCAATACAGGCGCAGAAGCGCTGGTTCAGATTTTATCAGGCTATTTGTTGTTTAAACGTGCGTGTTGCATAGGCTATTTAAAAAATATATATATAGACATATTTGATATTGTCTATTTAGGCGAATTATAGCATTGATCACTGAGGGAATTCGCAACTTGCTGAGCTTGGTTATGTTTTTTTTTGTTTTTTGTTTTTTTAAATCTATGGATTTTTTTTTTTTAAATAGCTGCTTTTGAAGATGTAAATTCAGTCAATCCTGTTGGAAGAGATTTGTTCCTTAATGTAAAATAGAAATGCAAGGTAGGCCTGATTTTAATATAGCCTATGTTTATGCGGGATTTGAAACAGTGTCATCAAAATAATTGTATCAAAGTTCTACCACTCGACCACAACTTTTCTCACTGACAAAAGCCCTGAAGTTCGGTTGTTCTTTTGATTAATAAAATGTTCTCCTATAGCCTAAAAGTTTATAATCTAGTTAAAGCTATCCACAAGTTTCCTACGCCCTATGAGGCCTTGCGTCAAAAGTGGGCGCGACTTCCGGTTGGAAGTAAACAAAGCGCGATTTGACACGCTTGACACTCGTTCATTCAACAGTTGACAGTCATTCAAGTTATAGCGATCCAAACTAGCTAACGATGTGGGAACACAACCTCAACGAAATTCAAAAGGGTGAAATAACAGTGCCTTTACCCTCCGCAGTAGTTGGCTGGGAGTATTATAATAACATTATTAATAATCAATACTCACCAAGGCATGGTGACAGACAGTTGTGCGAGCTGACAAACAATTAAAAATTAAAAATACACACTTAGTCAATGTGCTTTGGAGTTTATTCAAAATTATAAATGAATGTGCCACTTGAATACATTAACTGGCACATTTGGTTAACAGTGGTATTCTGTCAACACAGGCTTTGATCCTGAGTTTAGGTGTAACATCAGTAGAGAACAGCCAATCACATGCTGATAGAGTTTATAGAACATTAAGAATTTAAACAAATGTACACAGGAAGATTCGTCGTCTTTTGGGAGGTGATGGAAACTACAGTCGTTGGCTGGATCACTCTGATTTCGTTTTCAGCTTATGTTCAAAACAATCACGTTTAAGCCACTAAATTAGTTTAGTCCGTTATACATACAACCGTGAACAGCACATGTTGTCCCTGAGCTCCGTAACGACATCTCTCATAAAGATTTGCGTCTTTAAATAGTAAAATAATTCTCCGAAAAACAGCTAGCCTCTTCGCTAACTAACACACAAAATACCATTGGAATGCTACTTCCGCCGCGTCACCGGAAGTTTCACCCACTTTATTTTTTACAGGAGCGCCCCTCGGAAACTTGTGGATATTCTATTTAAAATGTAGGTTTGCCTACGTTTTGCTTTCGCTAAATGTCCCTTTGCGCCACCTGGTGGTCATTTCGCCACCGACTTTGAAATACTGCTGGTTTATTTTTGCCGCGGCGGTAAACGACATTCTGGTTGTCCACCTACTGTAAGTCCCAAAGCTTGCCTATACTCTTTTGCTACACACTCAAAAGTATGCACTTTTTCCTCACAAAAAGAGTACATACTTTTAGGGTGTAGTATTGCGACATTGCTGCAGAGCTTGTGGCCTCTAGGGACGCTAGAAGTGAAAGTTACAGGTCGAGCGCCCTCTAGTGGCCAAAGTTCCTTTAAAGTTAAAGTGTGGCTTTAATTACAGAACCAAGACGATTAGCAGAGAACCGTTTGTCAGGCGGTTGCCGACAGGACTGGACTGGACTGGACTAGGACAGATGATAACAGGTTAGTCGTTTCATGCGTGAGAAACTCGGGTGAGAATCTGGCAAAGAAAGCAGCAAGACGGAGAGGGGAAAAAGAGACCTAATCAGAGGGGGAAAGGGAACAGGTGGGAAGAGTAAACGAGGTAGTCAGAGCTGAGGAACAGCTGAGGGGAAGGGAGAGAGGAAAGAGAAAGCGACTTGAAAAGACCAGTAGAGGGAGACAGAGTAAAGAGAAAGAACAGAGACAAGACAAAACATGATATGGAGGCATGTAAGCTTGCCTTTTGCAACAATTTTCCCCTCATTGGAGTATTCCCTGGAACAATCAGTATGTTCTGCATGGGAAAAAAATCTATCTTTATTAAGGACTGGGTTGACAAAGGTGTTTTTGTTTTGGATTTGTTGAGGACGGCAGCTTTTATTCCTACAATGAATTTATCAACCTTTTTGGATTGGATTCCTCAGCTAAAGTTTATAACTGGGTTATTAATTCCATTTCACCTAAGCAAATGGTTAGATCATACTGCAGCTACAGAGCATCCGTTTGTGAAATGCCCCAGTTTCTATTGGAGGTTTGGAGCTTTCCAATGTCAAATGTAAGTCCAGTATCCAACAAACAGCCCAAGCGAGCTCACAGTCTGTGGACCAGTCTGGCATCGAACAACCAGCCCAAGTCAGCTTAAGATCTGTGGTCCAGTCTGGCATTCAACAACCAGTCCAAGTCGGTTTGCATTCTGTGGTCTAGTCTGGCATCCAGCAACCAGCCTAATTCAATTCAACTCACTGTCTCTAGACCCATCTGGCATTTAACAACCAGCACAGCCAGGTCACAATCGACTGACCAGTCTAGCATCCGACAATCAGCCCAAGCTAGCTCATAATTTGTGCACCACATAGACAACATATTGTGTATGTAATCAAAAAAAGAGATAAGTTTCTGTAAAAAAAATAAAATAAAATAATAATCAAAATAAGTTCTACAAAATTACTATCCCTGTAACTCTCTTCTTTCCAAGTTAAAATTGGACATCTCTTCACACTGTGCATTCTGTAATTCTAATCTTGAAACAATACCTTGTTTTGGCTTTTTTTTTTCTGTTTATTACAAACTTTTGAGGTTGTGAATGTGCTGTTTTTGATTTGGGACTCTGGGTCAAAGGGGATGGATGACAGATTAAAACTGCTTACTTTATGTGGCAAGTTTCATCATCACAAGTGTAAAGTAACTGTTTCGAAGCCCAATTTTAGACATTTTTTTTTTGTGTTGATTTAAAATTATTTTATGACTCTCTTTGTTTATCAGTTAATAAGAAAGCTGCTAAAACTTAATTGTTGCTCAAAGACATTATGTTTTCATTAAAAATTACCTTATGATTTTCTGAAGATTATTATTTATTTATTCCCAATGTTATTTACCTTTTTTTTTATTATTAATTTTACATATTTTGTAATTTCTATGCATGTTTTGTGAATTGTTATTATTTTTTAGTAGAATTTCCCTTACTTCTCCTTTTCGTTTTATTTTTTAACTTGATATTTGTATCCCCTGTGACTTTTTGTTCAATAAAAAATAAATGAATAAAAAAAAATAAAAATAAAATGAAATTGTGTCATGTGTGTAATGATGCCTTCTAGTGGCTCTTATTGGACACGCATGTGCGCTTCCTAGCTGACGTCAGCGCGTTGTGTTAAACAACATCTACCAGAGAGCGTGACAGACGACCGAGTCCATCCTAACGCGCGGTTTATTCTTGCCGTTTACCGGTTACGGCCGTTTCTTTAATCTAACCTCGTCAGCAGACAATGATTAAACACTATTATTCTCTTTGTTTAGAGAAAACCCCATCGAACCGGCTGTTTCCCTACGTATATCTTGCACTTCCGGGTTTTCGGGCAAGCGTCAGTTCTGAGGATCAGCTGTAATGATTGAATGAGCACACGGAGAGGAGAGAGCGACTCCTGAACGCTGTGCTGCCGATAATCGTTGCTGGACACCAAGTGCATAATAAAAGACAGCGTGGCAAGAGGATTCGTGGAATAAAGCTGCTTGTTTATGCAGCTGGCAGGAGTGCGTTGGCACTCACATATGTTATTATAAGCTAGTGTTTTAGGTACACAAGTATGAAGATAATGTGTCAATGGTGACTCATCCTACTGGTCTAATGCAGTTGAGTAATTTCGGATCTCCTAACACTTGATGCCCGCTGAGCTTGCATGTATCTCGAAATCTCGAACTGGACTGTTTTATATTAAGAGATTTTCGCGTTTTTCTAAGATTTGTGCGTCTGTCAATCTTTGTTGGATCTGGGAAACGACACGTACGTGAGAGTCTGGTTGTTTTGCATGATTTAATGAAAGAGTTGCTGGTTGGACTATGAAGAAGTTCTTCGATACCCGACGGGAGATGGTGAGCTCGGGGCCCGTGTCAGGAGCCGTCGCGGGGGGCAGCGCGGGGTCCGGCGCGTTCATCGGACGCGTTTTCTCTATTGGACGATATCAAGTGACCGTGGAGGAGACTGTAGCAGAGGGTAAGTGACTTTAAGTGACTTTTTACTTTTCGTAAGGACTAATAATGAATTAAATGTGCGTACTGACGATGTTTTTACTGTCCATGTCTATATAAATAATAAATAACGATGCCTTATGAATGACTCCGAGCCCCTGTCGTCACTCATGCGTCATCTAGATATTTGCTGACTGCATGCTATGTAGTGAGGCGTGCTGTCTTTGCAGAGGAGGTTCAATTTAATATTTAACAGCAAAATTTGTGTTGTTGCAAACCAATAAGACTTACTTTCTTCCTGGAAGCCAAAAGGAGAAGTTGAGCAGAATGTCGACGCTGCTCTTTTCCAGATAATGAAAGTTCATGGAGACTGGAGATATCAAACTCCAAAAGTGACAAAAAGCATCTTAAGACTAACATTAACCATTTACGTAACCAAAAATCTGTCTAACCAAAAATCTGTCTACCTGTCTATATCAGTCTTCTGAAGTCATATGTTAGTTTTGTGTGAGGAACAGTTTGAAAATGTATATCATTATTCACTAAAAATATTGCCATAAGCCAGCATGTATTCTGTCAACAGCAGGTTTGACATTATGCCAAATGTTATTGGTTTTATTGATTTATTTAATCTGCCATGTTACTGTTTTTCTCACACACCCTCAGTAAAACTACCAAAGCAAATTACCAACTGTTTTTGGGCTAACTTGATGGTCCTCTGCTTTGAGAAATCTCATCCCGTCCAATTGCGATGGTCTGTGATTACTGATGTTGTATGTATTATCCTGATGCTTCTCCTCATGTGTATTTTGACCCACCTGACCTACCGGTTGAGCACCAATCTTCAGCATGCTTTTATTTCAATATCGATGGTATCTGATGAAAAATGATAATAGCCAACTGCCCAATTTCAAATCAGTGGCAGGTAGGATACTTACTGTATGTTTTTCTTCTCAATATGGGTATATTATAAACCGCTATGTCTATAATTTCATGTCATTTTTATTTAAATAGGGTTTAATAAATTAAAAAATTGTGCCCACATCTAGAAAACACACACTCCCACCTCTGTAATAAACATGGAGATGTTAGTCCTGTTCGAATCGGTGCATGAAATCACAGACATTGGTTGATAAGAATTGTAACTCAAACTTCGCTTTAACGTTGTTAAACCTAGCCTACTTTTTGCAGTGAAACACAAAATTGATCTACAGTGAGAAATTCCTTTAAACATGATGGGTTTACCAGAGTTTCTGGAACTTATGCAGCCCCAATATTGTGGTAATGGAACTGCATGGAAAGTTTTGAATTCACAGGATGCATTACATGAGTGAGTCATCAGCTTAAAGTCTCTTAAGCAGATTTGAAGTCATTCCCCCTGCTGATGCAGATCTTAGGAGAGAAGTCCTGATAGGGTGTCGTATCAGGAACTCAAACTGGTTTTGATATTTCAAGCTACATCATAGAGTTACAAAGGATACTGTCTTCCAACTCAACATGTAAATGCAGGCGATATTATCAAGACTGAGAGAGAGAACCGGCTGTCATATGTTCATGTCATGACCTCAGTGCATAGAGAATTCTGAACGCCTTACACAAGCCATTTCTGTTATTGCCTGGAAGCACATTTGGAGTCACTGTGTCTCATGGGAGATCAGAGACATTCTGCTGCCAAAAAAAAAAGAGTCTACAGCGAAGTGATAATTTTGTATTTGATAATTCAGTATTAGATGATGTTTTGTCACTTTGAAGCGAATCCCTTCATGGACATTTTGCCACAGAATATTTTGGATTTGAGACGCATGCATTGTGATGTCCTCCTCAGACCCTGAGATGGTCCTCCTCACTGCAGAACACGAAATCCAGGGGGAGGAGTTGGATCTGGATCCTTACATATACCTAAACCTACCCATCTCCGCCCCCTAATACCTAACCCCACCCCTAATCCTTCCCATCTCCACCACTTAGATCTGGATCCAACTCCGCACCCTGGATTTTGTGGACTGCAATTAGGTGCTACTGCAGACCCTTGCACTTTACAATCTTTGTCAACTGGGTATTTTCTCACAAACTTTGAACTGCTGCTTCTGTGTGTCTCAAGAAAACAGGGCTTGGCTTTATAATCTGGGGTTGATTTTTGTCTTTCATTCCATTCAAGTGTATTTTGTATATTGTTTTGTAAAGTGTATATAAGTCCCCTTGTAATCATTTTGATCACGAAAATTACATATACAAAATCTGTGTAAAAAACATTGGCATGCCTTAAAATAGCTTGAATGTAACTCTACACCCTTGCCTTATTTAATATACGAGGGTCTATGAATATGCAAATTAGCCCCACCTCCACGCACTCAGAGATCCGCTCGTTGATGATCACACATTGACCTGAATGGTTAAAAAGTATAATTTGTGACGTCAGAAACACCAGCGTTTTCAAACTGTGTTTTTGAAACTGTAATTGGTTCACTGCAGTTTTAAAGAGACAATACTCAGCAAGTAACATTGGTTTTGCTGAGTCTGGACCTGGAACGTCTAAATCTCCACCGACTGTTTCAAGCATCGGCTTCCAAAGTGTGTCTGAAAAATGACACTCCTAATATATGGATTTTCATTTGGTTAACTATTTAGTTGTCGCTAATCCCTTAATCTAAAGTGTTTGTTTTTTTGGATGGAAGGGATGATTGTCATCGAAGGAGACAAAGAGTAGAGGAGCTACATCCCTTTTATGATGGACAAATGTAGTTTCTAAATAGCATTTAAGAAGAAAAATGCACTATTTTTCAGTCACTGGAATCCCAACACAACAGCTGTACTGTGAATGATTTCAGCTGACTCCTCTGAGGAACGCCGTCCAACCTTGTGCTCATGGCAGTCGGCCACCTTAGTATAGTGGCCAGTTATGCTGTCTAAGCCATTTTGCCAAGGAAAAACTGTCAAAGTCTAGAGGCTTTGACCTTGAAGCACAGTTCACTATATGTTTGGCTTCTGCCTAGTCATCCGAATGAGTTCATAAGGCCTTCAAGCGATATATATCAATGTTGTTAAACCATTACATCACTGTCTGCTTCAGTCAGGCTGTCACCTTTCACTCTCTAAAAGACTAACAGGACCATTCGGAGGTTTTTACAATCATGCATAAACTCACTGTAGGGACTCCATGCAAGAACAAATGCATACACAAATGTTTGCAGGTGTGTGTTGTTCTGCTGCATATTCTTCTCAGTCAGGATGCCAGCTATAAACAGATCAACAGTCAAACTAACTTTAACTTGCTCTGCAAGATTCTCAAGATTCTCAGCTTTGGGATAAATCATAATAAATAATCCATTCCGCTCTTAGTTACATGAGGAAATGTAACTATTTTAATGAAGTGGCAATGTAAGAATATTTGAAAAAACACATGAAATTAAACTAAGTAGAGGTAAGCATGAAAGTTTGAAAATGCATGAATGCGTTGACATATTTATACGATTTAGCCGCCAAAGCGTACAAATTGTTGTGAATTGCCATGAGAGCGTGTTAAATATTAAAAAAATACAACCCAGCCTCATGTAGCTTATATAGCTATGTTTATGTTTACACGACAATATGCTTAAAACGGAGAAGATTTTCTTTGAGTTTTCAGCGTACAGACGACACCATTGTCAAAATTATCCCCATTCACACGGATCCATGAAAATGACTAACGCTGTTTTCTGAACACGTAATACGCACGTGCATGACTTCATCATTATCAGAGATCTGTGTTTTTTTTTGTTGTTGTTTTTTTTTTTACAGGGTGACTGTTTAAAAAAAAAACAGTTTTCAAAAATTTGCATTTTCAGGCACCCGAAACGCCGTTGTTGCGTAAATGAACGGACAAAACGCATAAAAAGATGTAATTTTTAGTTGAAAATGGTAGTGTAAACAACCCCAAGGATTTCTTATGAATTCGTACAATATGAATATAAGTATAACTTCATAGTATAAGTATGAAGTTCCTCCCCTAAACTGACTGTCAGTGCGGCATAAGCACATCGTGTGAAAACGAATGAATGAAATCATACTAATTAGCTACCACTCACCAAAAACGTAAAATAGTTACGAATTGCCATTGGTTATGTTGTAAATATATTGTGTAAACAAAAGTCTTATGGGTTTGGAACAACATAAGGGTGAATAAATGATGACAGAATTCTATTTTTGGGTGAATCTCAAAATATCAGATCATTTGAATTTTTTATGATTTGATTTGACTTGGCATGGTTAGTTCATTTGTTTATAAAAGTACTTGAAAATTTGAAAACTTTTCTGCTAATAATGATTAAGATCAATCAGGTTGACGATATTTTATTACTTTTAAAGTAAGTTGGTTACTCCACATGAAATTTCTTAAACATATTTTGGAAATCATACACAGTCAATGTGTCAAACCATCAGTGTGGCATAAGCAGATTGTACGAAAACGTACAAATGACTGTAAGTGTAAAAATAGTTGAATAGCTGAATTGAAAGCATGTTGAATAATCCATTGGTAAGTTAAGTGTAAACACTGTGACTCTGTGGTTGCTGTCTAAACATTGGATAGTTGACCCAAAATACATTTTTAGTCATCATACACTCAGCTTTGCAGTCAAAACTAAACTAAAAATTTGAAAAACACGCATCAGTTAAATATGGTATTTAGGAGATAATTGTCCAGTCAACAGATTTGACAGCAGGCTCATTTTAGAGTCATTACCCACAAAGCTGTAAACTCTGCAATGATCCTTGCCTTCAACAGCTTCATTATTGTAATCTCAGCGGTTAAAGTGTATGAACTATAAAAGTGGATTGAAGCAAATTGGATTAACACACTGAAGACATTGAAATGCAGGCCTGCGCATTTAATTACATAACACTGAGAGGTTGTGTGTATGACTCTTCGTGTGTTACATGATCTTTACTGCAGGCAAATCTTAATTTAAACAGGATGGCTGAATGTCAACAGCTGTGAGTGTCACCCATGACACATGGGCTAGTTCGGAGACAGTTGTTAGAGGAATC